AAAGTGCCCTAAGTCGTGGCCCATGTGCAAATCGGCACTCATTTTAGGCATACTGTTTTCCATATGAGCGACAAACATGCTGACAAAATCTCAGCCACTGTTTTGCAGCAAGTTTTCGAATTAGCCCAGTACCAAGTCGCAAACTTTGACGTGGTCGTACACGCTTCAAAAGCTTGCGCGGCAGCTTAATTTGAAATCTTTAGCTTGCACATGCACAGAGAATATCCACGCAAAGTTTCAGCTTTGTGTCTCACAATTCCGCGAAATCGTTCCCAGCCAATAAAATCTGCATATTTTCTTCGGGGGTCTGTATGCGGGGCCTAGGCGCAAGTAGGGAAAGATCTTGAAACGGGGGTAACACACGGGGTAGGGACATATACCCAAGGTTTCAGCTTCTCAGCTTTCCTGGTTGTTGAGATGAAATTGGGTGACAAAATGCACTCGCTTTTTGAAAACACACACAGCCTTTCGGCAACATATTTTTTTGCTGGCTGTAGCAACGCTATGGCGCCGCAAATAAAAAACGCCTAAAAATGAAACATTTGCATTTAGACGTTGGATCATCTGATAGAACTAATGGCCTGGACGGTGATCTGATCAAAGATTAGCTTGAAAAGCATGTGCTGAGATTAGTTTGAAAACCATGTGCTGAGATTTCTGGTATGTGTGGGCAATAATGCAGACCAGAATAAGAACCCAGCCCGCAAATTTCACAATGCTCAGTTGATGAAATCGGCCCAATTCTTTATCAGACACTAAAGAGAAGCAGAAAGCTAAAACAGACTAGGATTTACGAAGTTTCGCTGTTTTTTTTTTTTTTTTCGCGTGTTAGTATACTCCACCTCATGAATACTCCACCACGGAAACTTATAAACAACTAAAATACGCACCATAGCAACAGTTATTGACCGTACTAATAATTTTTTCCGCTTCTTCCGAAAGGTCAAAGAAGAAACGACTCCTGTGGGCGTGAAAATGAAGGAAAAGTCTTCGGTTGTTTAGCCTGTAGGATTGTGAGTTCATCTGACACCTTTAATCAGCTTTTACATGCACTGAGGACTCTAGTGAGCGCAAAAATTAAACCCGCAACGGGATCAGCACCATTCGAATTTGGGAATCGGGGAAAATGTTAGCTCAACTCCCGCTTCTTAAATATTACACTCGGATGCGCCTTCGTTTTATAATACACGTGTAAACCCGGCTAACAATGTTTCTGGCTAGAACGCCACATAAGGTGGAAAGCTGAAATTTCACGAAAATTTATTCTTCGATGCTGTCCTTCCTTATCGTAAGTTCATGTTGATTCCTTGCTAACCCGCTCATCGAAGGGATTTCAGTTGCAGTGAATGCCGGTAAATAAAAATCTGGTTACAGAATTTTAGCTTTCTTTGATGTGGACAACGAGTGGTGCAAAAAAATCGTAAACTGGCATGAAAAAACATGTGTATCTTCCAATTATCCTATAAAGACAGTGCAGCACCAAGGGTAAGTGAGGTTGGGTGGAAATTCATTGCATACGTCATCATGAGGTTTTGGAAGAATCGGTATTGAAATATTAATAACTGCTTAAGAAACATGCACAGAATTATAAAATGTGTGTATAAAAGGCCGAAAAAGGCAAAGTCATGCCCTTTATATTAAGCAAAACGACATATGGCAAACCAGCTTTACATTTAGCATTTGAAGGGGAACATACATTTCAAGAAAAAATTATAATCAGTTTTGACAAACCCTTTAACGAGGGATAAAGTCATCACAGAACTAAACAGAGAATAAGCTCAATCAGAGAATAATTCATATTCAGTTTTCTGCCGCTGCCTGGCCTCTTAAAATTGACTGTTGATTGACACATTGTCCTTCAAACGGGATCTTTCATCCATGACTAATTTTCTATATGCAGACGGTTCAGGTGCTTTTGCACATAACAAAATTCTGGTACCTTTCCTTACTCACTACTAAGTGGGAGCTTTTTCGAGTCTTCTAGTAGCAAGAAAAAGGAGAGGGGAGCAACAGAAACGTTCGTGGGTAACGATCACATGTTATACAGAATTTTTCTGGAAATGCAGCGTGCACATATGATCTTCTCAGTACGTACCCGATCCACTAGTGTGCTTGAGTATCCACAGGTGTGCCATAATGTCCTCTAAAGGCAGCCGACCAGCCGGATCCTTCACCAGTAGCTGAAAGCAGCCGAAATTGACTAAAAGAATTTTTAAAAGATAATCCATTTTGCATCGACAAATGTCTTCAACTTCGTAAAAAATGTTCAACCTTGCTTATAAGATCTCTTGCACCCGCCGATACGTGATCGGGGAATTCGTACTTGACATCCACAATGAGCCTGTGAGTTGTGCGGCAAATTGGTGCTTTGAATGGTGGCTTACCGACCAAAAGTTCGTAGCAGATCACTCCTACTGCCCACAGCTAAAAAACAAAATTTTATTTGAGCGCATTTTTTGACCAAAATCAAAGGAATGCCAGTCGAAGCTAATCAATCCATCTTCACTCGAACAACTTATTCCTGCAAGAGACGGAGACATTAAAAAGTAACCTGAGTAGTAGCACGTTTAGCAGAAATTACGGTCCAGCAAAGGCTTTCTGCTCCTTGATTACTTATAAGCAAATTGATACCGATTTCGATTTCTTGGCAAATGACAGTACCAATTTGCCATAGAAATGAATGAATCACACTGGGTTCGCTTTTTCACCGCTGGTGTCTTGTCCTAATTTTCAAATGACTATTGCGCTACTTCCTGTTCCATCATGCTGACTAACTTGAAGAGATCTGTTTCCCGACCGAAAAGGAACCGGATTTAACGAAAAAGTAGAAAACTTGGGAAGCATCCACCACATTTCGTCCCAATTACTAAACAGTAACCAAATAGTTTTATCTCCGCAACTTGCAAATTCTTACAGTAATCTTTTTATCCTTGCTGAAACTGAATTAAAAATTTCTGACGGCCGCTACCACTGGCAGAAAAATTGCGATTGTTGACAATCATTAAACTAGTAACCCCGTTATCGTGTCCAATGCCTTGTATAATTTCGGGCGACAGATAGTCTTCTGTGCCACGCATGCTTCGTCTCCTAAAAATGCCCTAATTACAATCACCGGAAAAATTTTTACAACTTTCTTGATGAAAATCTTTTTGTTGACAAACGTATCTGTAAAAAAGGCACTTTAGGAACAAACTTGTTTGTGGGGGCAAGCATACCCCAGCCAAAATTGGCTATCTTTATCTCGTCGTTTATACCCAAGTATATATTCTTTGGATTGGTGTCACGGCAGCAGACATTCTTCTCGCGGCAGTACTTGAGTGCGTCGGCCATTTGGAATATAAACTTACAATAGTTCGCATTAAAATTTCCAAATCCACCATCATACTGCCACTAAGAAACTCTCAACGGCTCTGCCAGCGGATGGCTGCCGTTGGCATCTGCTACCACTTAGGCTACTTATGAGTGCTTCCTATCACAGACAGAGAATGCGGAGAGGGTTTTGTTTCTGACTAAACTCCGAAAATCTGTATGGCGAAATTGCATGTGTCAAAAAAGCAGGAACTTTTACCACCAGGATTTTAAGGTTTATTTAAAAGAGGCAAACACAAACTATTCTGCCAGCAGCAACTCTACATTAACAGCTTACCTACGACTTCCTTCTCCTCCGAGACTACATGGAAGTCTGCATGGCACAGAGCATCAGCTTGCACTAAAGTGAGCCTCAAGCAAAGCAGAATAGGCGTTTATTTTAACCTTAGCAGTGCGCTTTTCGGCGAAACGGCCGCACTTCTCCAGTTCTTTGGATAGCTTTCCACCTGCTGCATATTCCATTATCATGTATATATTGTTGTCGTCATAGAAATAGTTATAAAACCGCAAAATGTTTGGATGACGCAGCTGCGATAAGTTTTCAATCATGCGTCCCAACTCACTTCCTTTGTGGTGCTCAATAAGCTTTGCTTTAGACAGTACCTAGAACATTTGCCAAGTAGCAGATCGTAAAAAAGTTTGGTAACCAGCCAGCTGGACAGCCAACCCCCTCTATGGTTTGTAATTCGCTTTGTTAATACTGACGTACGTCAAAAAACCTCAGAAGAAGGGACTATCGACAGCCTTGCCAGCAGGTGCTTACTGTTGTCGTGCTTCTGTTCGGATTGTTTCACAGCGCCTTCGCTTTGCAGAGAGGGTGGGTACCGAGAGCATTTTGATTTTTGAAAAAGTGTTGAACTTACCTTCAGTGCTAAGACGTAATTTATTAGCTTTGCTCGAGCCAAATAAATTTTTCCGAATGGACCTTCCCCCACTGAATGCGCAATCTCGAAATCGTCCAAGCAAATCTTCCGCCTGAAACAAAACTCGAATAAAACGATACGAGATCTGCAAGAAGTTTTTCGTTATTTTCATAACATTTGGTCCGATTTTAATGAAATTAAAATATGTTGAACCAGTAAGAATTTTGCCTAAACGAGCACAAAATTTGGACAAAACAAGCGCTGGTCGCAATCAGTAGGGCGTGCACTGCCCAAAACTCAAAAGTCCCAAATTTTTCAACTTTAACAAGTTAGCCACCCTGCATAGGGGCTTTTCCTGCTGTAGCCTTTTCTCTCCTCAGCGCCGACACCTCGACCCACTCCTTCTGTTTTTGTTGGATCCTCCGCAGATGTTAGCGACGTTTTATCCATGTCCGAATTCGTTCGCGATAAAAATGATTGGGAGTGTCGTATTTGTGCTCTTTTATGGTAGTATAGTGCTCTGCCAAATCTGCATATGTGTTAAATGGAAATGGCATTCAGTGCATGCACATCAAAATTTCTTGTGCGCTACTGCATAAATCGGTACCAAGAATGCACATGCAAGTTTGCGTAGGTCGTTGCGGGGTATTTCGATGAATTCACAATTTGTATGCGTTTGAGGTAAATTTCCAATGCCTTTTTGCGTAAATCATTGTTTTGCGGCGACATGAGGAAGTAAATTCTGATAGACACTGTGTGTTGCTTCCTTGCTAGCAATCGACGGACGTCGCACATTGGTGACTGGTACTTCGTAGGAAGGCAACCTAAACAACTGATCTGGTGATGGGTACTAACATGAGTGCTCTGG